TCAGCTTCATAATGAACACAAACATGACTAGGCTCCGCCCACTTTGATTTTTCCATGGGGATTTTGGGGGCGTAGTCTAATCTCAAAGTCGACGGATCCTAGTCGTGTTTGGGCTTATTTTGAAGCGCTAAAGATGGCTTAACCAGGTTTAATACGTTCTAAGCTTCAAAATCAGCCCAAACACGACTAGGCTCCGCCCACTTTGAATTCCCCCCTTTAACACGCGAGGCACGACCGCGACGCGCCTGAAAAATCAAAGTGAACGGAACCTAGTCGTGTTTGGGCTCATTTTAAAGCTAACAACCTCAGAAATCGGAATATAACAATTGTAGCTATTCAAACTCACATTTATTCTCATAAAAAAGGCCCAATCTCAAATTGGCGATCAGCATAAAAGCGACGCCGTAGAAGATATCGGTGACCGATTGAGCAGCGACTAGTAGAAATTCTCGACGTTTTCGATTTCTCGCATCGGATAAGATACACCAGAGAAGCGTTAAATTGGTTACACAAATCACCACACCTGGAAACTTGAAATTTAACATAGGAATTAAAAATTGGGATAAAAAATTGGAATCCTTTTTTAATTGGCTAGTAAATTAGAAGAAACTAGTGAAAAAACCCCGTTTCTTGCTACATATTCTAAATAATGACTGAAAATCCTTCATTTTAAGCTAAAATTCATGAAAATCCGTTCAAAACTAACCGAGATATAATCATTTGATTTTTTGAAAAATAAATTTTTTTTTCGAAAATTTTTAAATTTTCAAAAAATCACAACTTTCATAATTTTTGAGCTATTTTTATGATCTTTACACCAAAATGTAGAAAAAGATCCCAGTGTTTTTTTAATAGTAATTTTCAAAAATTATCCAACCTCTGGGGCGCCTTTGGCGCGTTTATAAAGTCCTAGCTGAAATTGTTCGGTTTTTGATCTCTCAATTTTTAAAATCCGTCTAATTCAGTTTATTTTCACTCAATTTTTCAAAGTTTTAGCTCAAAATGTTGGAAATCTTTTGACTTTTTTTCCATTTTCTTATTTTCATATAATTTCCAAATCGTCTGGTGCGCCTTTGGCGCGCTCCAACTCACCTTCTGCTAGATACAGATACATGTTCGCTGCGAACGACATTTTTAGCAGAAAATCTGAAAAATCATTTCTGAAATTGGCAAAATTAAGTATTCAAACGAAAAAGTATAGGGAAATATATGATTTTTGCTGATTTTCAGACTTTTGAATATCAAACTAGACACAAAACACAGCTCAGAATGGTCAGAAAGAGTCCGGAAGATGTGTGTAAGTACATGAGAAAAAGCATGTGGGAGGTATTCTCACGATGTCAGTGTGATCAGTTTTGGAGATTTTTTTCTGGAAAATATTGAATTTTGAAAATTGGAAAATTAAGTTTTTAAACATCAAACTTCAAACTTCAAACATCAGGAGAATCTTTTAATCTGAATTCCTGAATTTCTGAATTTCTGAATTTCTGAATTTCTGAATTTCTGAATTTCTGAATTTCTGAATTTCTGAATTTCTGAATTTCTGAATTTCTGAATTTCTGAATTTCTGAATTTCTGAATTTCTGAATTTCTGAATTTCTGAATTTCTGAATTTCTGAATTTCTGAATTTCTGAATTTCTGAATTTCTGAATTTCTGAATTTCTGAATTTCTGAATTTCTGAATTTCTGAATTTCTGAATTTCTGAATTTCTGAATTTCTGAATTTCTGAATTTCTGAATTTCTGAATTTCTGAATTTCTGAATTTCTGAATTTCTGAATTTCTGAATTTCTGAATTTATGAATTTCTGAATTTCTGAATTTCTGAATTTCTGAATTTCTGAATTTCTGAATTTCTGAATTTCTGAATTTCTGAATTTATGAATTTCATAAATCCCAAATTTCGGTTTTTGAATGAAATTTTTATTTCCTCCAGGTACCGAAAAATAGAAAAAATCAGAAAAACATGGTCTACAGGTGCTAAAAATAATAAAAGAAATCCAATTTTCGTCATTTCTTGTTTACTGTTTTTTTGGGGTACAAAAGCCAAAAAATTCGAGGAAAAATGTCGGTTTTTGGTTCAGATTTTCAGATTTTCAGGAAAAAAGTAAGGTCTAAAATTTCAGAAAATGTGTTATTTTGTTTTTGAAAACAGGTGAAAATTTTTGGTATTTTAGAATTTTAGAAAACTTGAAATTTAATTTTTTTTTATTTTTTGGTGGAAATTCTAAAAAATTGCTGCAAAAATTGAATTTGTAATGTTTTCCCAACGCGAAATTTTTGAAAATTCAAAAATTCCATGTTCAAAACTCAATTTTCTGAAATTTCAACATAGTATTCATATCAAGCGCACTCTCAGCATCAAAATGAGCCCAAACACGACTAGGCTCCGCCCAGTTTCAGAAATTCAGAAATTCAAAAATTCAGGAATTCAGAAGTTTTCAAAAACCCATCAGAGCCTCCTAAAAATTCAATTGTCTTTGATTTTTTTGGCTCTCAAAACAATTTTGATAAGATCAGACATTAAACAATTATTCCAAATTGTTTGTTTTCCAAAAAATCGGGAAAAAATCAGAAAAATGATCAAATGAACTAGAAAAATCAAGATAATGATTTCAGAGAACCAGAGGAAAATGATCAAAAAATAATAAAAAATTAGGGAAATGATCAAAAAATTATGTATAAATGGGAAAAATGTATAAGAATGGAGTAGTATTGCGGGGGGAGGGAAAGAAAAATGATTTCATTAGAGACTGGGGAGTGGTCAAAAAAGAAAATATGATCAAATTTCAGCATTTGATTAGGAAACCAGGGGAAATTCGAGGAAAAATTCCATATGTCTGTAGGTTGAGGAAGAGGGCAAGTTCATTTTTGGTCTAATCAAATTCCGAGTCAATTGATCTCGGTTCCTGTGAAAGATATCAAAAAGTTGTCAACTGATAAAATATTTATTACTTTATCAGCTAATTTTTATCAGTTGACCTCTTTTTGATATCTCTTACAAGGTTCGGTTCATACTTGGAATTTCTGCTAAAACTAATAAGTATAATATAGAACTTAAGATGATCTACAAATTGATACCAATCTTGACTGTACTTGCCTGGAACGCGTATCTCAGCTGGGCACTATATTACTGTATTTTTATATTTTAAGAAAACTCATGAAATTTTCCACAAAACGCACCAACAATCAGCTTTCTAGGACAATTTTGAGCCGAGTTATGACCCTTTCAACTTTGTATGAGAGACGCAGAGAAACGAGAGTCTCTGCGTCTCTTCTAAAACTTCAAATGCTTATAACTCGACTCAAAATTGTCCTGGAAAACTGATTTTCAGACCGTTTTGTGGCAAATTTCAAGTCCTTCTTAATGAATTAGAATTTCTTTAAAATTTGAAAAAAAAAACTGAAAATGTTCACTTTAAGAAAAGAAGGACAACTGAGCTACGCAGTCACCGTAATTCACTGCCGGCTGGCTAATAATGATCAATGAGATATCCGATGTCTATCTAGATTGAAACTAATAAAGTTGACATGTTTATGAACATGTTGTGCTGGTCAATAATATCCCCCATGTGCATTATTTTATGACCAATCTAATTAGTCGCTGATCTTTTGGGATTTCCGGACCGGAGACAGATTGGTCAGGTGAAAACCTCTCCTGTTTTTCATAGATATGCAGTGTGAAAAAAGTAACAGGAAAGGTGCGTCACCAGACAAAGAAGCAGGCACTTGTCAGGTGGAAAAAACAAACAATGAAAATTTCAGAGATTTAAAAAAAAAATCATGGTTTTGGAGTTTTAGTGTGTCCGCTAAACTTAGCTCTACATTCCTTTCTAAAAATGGAAATCCTAGCTTCATTTTGAAGCGAGTTATGACTCAACTTGTTCGGAGGACGCGGTCGGCCGGAGGTGATGAGCGGCGC